TGACAGTGACTTGATATGCTTTGAAACTTTGTCTTTAGCATCTTCAATACGCTCTGATCCAATAGTGGGAAAGGTTTCAGTTCCTCGCCAATTGTTCGCCATATCCTCTCTATTCGTAGTTCACCAATGCCCTTGACATCCAACAAAGCAGTCGGTTTGGCTTTCGATTGGATTCATTGATTATGATGACAAATACAACTATTACCACTTTTCAGAAGATCAACTCCAGCAAATGTACAGAAAATTCCGAATCATCGTTTTTAGTAAATATTCTTGGTGTCGCAAATTCGGGTGTTTGCTCAAATTTGGGTCGCAGTCGACTGCAGGTCATCCCTTACTTTAACTCTTTCTCTTCTATGCCCAAACCTCTCTTTGCCCTGTCTTCCGATTCGCAACAATCCATCAGCCAAATTGTTCGTCATTCGCCAAAGTTCGTTGCCAAATAGCACTAAATAGTTTGCCTGCAGATTTTGAAGCCTCGTCAACCTCTCAATCTAAGGGCCTACAGGGAGAGGGCTCTGATGCAGGTGGTTGAACAAGCGTGTTTTGTGCATACAATGAAGTCTTTAGAAATTGCGTGTCGGAGACACAAATTTACGATCCTTGTTTTATAAGCCACCTGAATGCGCCTGGTCTGTCCTCAAGGTATCTCCTTCATACATCAGGAGACGATGAAGCCCATTCACTGGGTCAGCGTGGTGTAGGAATCGTACTTAACGATAAAGCTGAAGCCTCACTAATAGATTCGATACCCGTCAACAGTCGTTTGGGAAAACCCGCCTCCTCAGTTAGCTCATCATCGTCTGCGCGATCCATCTGTCTGCGCACGTTATTAGGAGAAGGAGCTCGGTTCACCGCGAGGTGGTAGATTAAGTAAACAGTGGGACTGAATCAGACTTGCAATGCATTTGGAGGTAAAACTCGCTTGTGGGTCTGGGCCGGAAGTTCGTCGAAGACACTGGATCTTTCAGGATTCAGTAGTCCCGATGGAACAAAAGCGAAAGATCCCAATTTGCCAGGATCAGCATAAAGACCGGTGTCGCCTGCAACGGTAACTCAGGAAAAAGATTAAGAAAGATCGGGAAAACTGATGGGTCAAAACAGGCAGTGAAATGGAGGTAGTTTCTGCATCCGGGAATAGTTGAAGACTGTTTCACGTAATACGCGGCACCGGAGGTGGTCGCATACCGGTCAGTGAGACCATTTGTGATCAGGCGGACAGAGTATTCACAATAAAGAACAATGAATTGATCGTTTGGTAGAGTATTTTCGTGTAATGTTCAATTTTCCAGGTGCTGATGTGGTTAAAACTCGGTGATTACAGCAGAAACTCCATCAGTGGTATCATGTTAGTCCCCATAAAATTTGGTAGTACGAAGTTGTATTCAATCGTTAAAGAAAAGGAAAACTGCGGGACTTGATAGGCTTCTCTCCATTCTCTTCAAGTTGGGTGATGACTCCCTCGTTGATTCGACTGCCAGAGTACTTCGCAGCATCTAGTCGGAGGAGGGTATCCCTCTATCCTGGGCTAAATCGTATATTGTTTTGATCTTCAAGTAGGGATCACACAACGGCTGCGCGAACCACCTCGGGATCACTTTAGTTCCAATTATCACAAAATTGCTGACCTCTATGATACTTTATCACCTGACACCCTTAAGGGAAATGTATCCGTGAAAAACAAACAGGAGTCGGCCCAGGTCGCAGTTGCGTCCACCAAATCTCGTCAAGACTCCGAAGTACGTCACAAATCGTTGACCGATGACCGCAGTGTTCCTTCACCTAAAATGCTTTTGATTCACGAGACCGTGAAGCAATGGGTCGCTGGGTTGCAAAGAAATGGCGCGGAAGTACGTCAACCTATTGCGGTCGCTGTACCTGCATACTTCTGGTAGCCTACGGTGGTCTAGGCAAATAGTTCGACACCAGGGGCGGTGTTCATCAGTGGTGTCTTACTTCGCCACTCCTGTTTAATTTGTTCGTTAACGAAGTCCTGGAGAACGCACTTATTGGTCTCCAAAATGTTGGTGTTGAACTGGCAGCTGGAGAAAAGCTGTGCTATTTTAAGTACGCTGACAATATCATTGTGTGTGTGTGTGTGTGTGTGTGTGTGTGTGTGTGTGAGTGCATAGGTNTTCAAGTACTGTAACTTCATTTATGGTTGTGAAGCCCCAAATTTGCGCGTGGAAGATATTCGTCGCCTAGAAGTCTTCAACTGCGGATGTTCACGTAGTTTGGCACCGGTTGGGTGGATCGGGTGTGTCAACAACTCTGAGGTAAGGCGTCAGTTCAGTTCAGTTCAGTTTAAATAACCTTTTCCGTGCGATGCTTTTGGTTGCCCATTTGGGTGAAAAACAGGGGGAAAACAGGAAGGTGGAAAGTAGGATCGGTGAGAAAATTGAAAGGTTGAGTGAACTAATGATACAGAGAAATTGAGAAGATGCACGAACGCCACTGTTTACGACACCCAGTCATATCACTCAGTGTCTCTAACCATCAGTTACTACCATCTTGAGGTCCCCCGCCAGGGAGCCTAACGGGACCCATGTGACCCAGATTCGAGGTAAGGCGTCGCGTATTTGGTAATGATTCGGTGGAGAATCCGTTGTCCCATCGAATTCAGTTTTGTCGGCTTCGCTGGTTAGGGCGTGTATTGAGCTCCCNCGCCTTTTTCACAGTCGCGGCTCCAGGTTGGAAGAAACCGCGTGGAGGTCAATAGATGACGTGGAGACAGTGCATGAAGAAATGCACGCAGCGATTAAGTGGAATAGGTATCTCCTGTCTTCCAGGTTGGGGTCTGAAAGATTTTGCAACTGGTTTGGTTGGAGACACTGAAGGATATGGCAGTGAACCGACAGCAGTGGCGTTCTAGTTATCATTTCTTATCAGGTGTTAATGCTCGAAAATATATGCTCACTTAGATTGTGCACTCTCCTTGTGTGTTGACCACAGAGGTTCGCTTTCTTTTCCTCTCTCCAATTAGGCCCAATTCCTCTTCATCTTTTACGTTGTCACCTAATTTCTGTACATTGTAAGCTTGGCAGCGATCGGTGAAGTTCACTCCACTGTGTTTCGCTGTACAATGATAATGATGATGATGATGGCAGGTGGTCTACTCATTGTAATAAGTGCATGGGTTTTGACATGCGCAACAAACACAAATTTCCTCTCAGTCAGAACTGATAGGTTTAGCGAAGATGGAGCGTTAGCGTTCCTCATTCGATTCATGCTAGGCGATAGCCTGTTCCCAATCTGGTCTGTTCGATCATGCTACTCACACACTAGGAATAAGCCACGATCGGTGACTCATTAGTGCTTTGACTCTCATATGCGGAAAGTTGTAACAATGCACTCATGGGTGTCTGTTCCGTTCGGCCAGTAGAGAATGGATGAAAGATTGAAAATGATCATCGATCGGATGCCGGCAGGTAGAAATAGATAGTCCAAATTCTCCCGTGGCTCTGTACCATTGCTTTTATGGAGGAGTGGTATTTTCAATCACAATTAAGTCAAAGTTCATGAATTGTAATTAACAATATTGAACCGGAATTCCACACCGGTCTGTTGCACTTTCATCACTAAATAGATGGTTAAGGCATGCGTTGTTTGTCGAGACTGCCAATGGACAGAAAAAGGTCAAAGGCGGTTAAACTTAGGTCTGGTATGAGGGTATGAATACCATAGTCAGGAGACTCGGTCATATAGGTTGCTTTAAGCTCCATGGATAGGGACCTTAAGATAATTTTCACCAATGGTTGAAGACACTGAGTGACAATGCTGTGCCGTGAACACTGGCGCACGTGAATCTCAACCTTAGGCTACCAAAAGTCTCCATTTTCTCTTCGGCACTCCTTCAACTTTCCGACGTTTTTTCTAGCGTTTCATCCGAACGAGCAGTCAAAGGACAACAACCAAAACCGCCTCTCACCGGTGTATAGTTAATAGTTGGAAAACATGAAGCTACACTTTCATTCCATCCGTTCGCCTTTCGAACTAATGTTACCACACCTTTATTGGTATGCAAAATAAAGATGGTCATCAGTTTCCTCTACCAGCTTATTGTATTATTCTTTCGGGTGACGTAAAATGGGGCACCTCCGAATTGCAGTTTCGTTTACAACTCTGAATCGAGTGCTTTAAATCGCACATTCTGCCAGACGAGAATCGGATCAAAATGGAAGTACTTGCGTTATGAGGGGCTACTCACACAGCAGTTGGAAGATGTTTGCGGTATTTAGAAGTGAACAGAACCTCGGGAAGTGGATTGGTGGGTTTATTGTGGTTACAAGAGGAGATGCGAAGAGGCTATCCAACTGTTTGACGAAATCGTGACAAAACTGTTCCCGATTACACGTTTCGTTCTGTGTAATCGGTTTTTCCCACCATCAACATCAATCTCACATTTAAACACCTCTTAGTTTGGATTTAAAACACTTATGCCCTATCTAGTGCATTTGGTTCCTCATTTCTCACGATCCCCGATTATTTACTTTCTCATCCTCGTTATTGGTTCCCCTAGGAGTGAATGAGCTATTTCACGAACTGTCGGACAGCACAGACCCATCACTTCAGTCTGCTCGTTTGGCATCCGAGGCGCGTTTTGTACCGGACTATTTGCTCAAAGCGACAACTAATTTGCAATACCTACGCATCACAGCAGAACACTATTTGCTCGCTCGTCGTCTATCCATATTGCACCAACGCGCGGGTAAGCTGCTTTTGGAGGTGACTTATCGGTCCTGTTTGTTTTGACCAACCTGAGGTATATTTCATTTTCATTACATTAGCAAAACAATGTGAATAGTGATTGATTGTGTCCATCCGACAGTTTGACGGTTCTCAGCACCTTTTCATCAATCTGCATCTACCGATTATTCAGTTTTTCACTTTGTGTTCATATTGTTTCTTCGATTACATAGTGATCAACTAACTGCCTTTATCTCGTTCTTTTTCATAAAATGGTGGATAGAACAATAAATCAAAGTTTTCCCATTTTTTTTTCCTCCATGTAGCACCGTCGTGTACGTTACACTTGCCACATTCCCCGGATGCAGCCCCTGCGAACTGGAGCCGTTCCAATTTACCCGGGCTGGAAGCGGTCAAAATCGGTTCACATGACATGTTCCAAAATGCTTGGGAGCACCATATTGTCCGACTAAGACAGGCCGCCGTTGCATCCACACTGAACACATTTCACTCGGCCCCATCACCATCTCCACCACCGACGAATGCTACGGCACCGCGAGATGAAACGGACCGGATTAAACGAACGCCGTTGTCAAATCATGCATCATCCGCCCCCACTACTCATTCTAACGAGAGCAGTCCGCTTAAGGGTAGTAAGAACTCTAAGGAACCTGTGTTCCCGAGCACCGTGCATCAGAAACGGAACTCGAATTTTCTTCCGTTCTCGGGTGATGTGTTATCCTCGAGAGCGGAGGAGATTCAAGCATTTGTCCCATCCGT